TTTCCTACAGAAACAGAGGCGTGTGGTTCGTAGTGGGTCCCCGCACGAGGCGAACTGACCACTGTCTCTGCTCTGTAAGCGGCGAAGAACAAGTGAAAGTGAATGTCTTGCCCCGTTTTGTTACTGGGGCGGAGGAAGCTTATACATTACGTGGCTGCTACCTTATGGGAAAACTGACCTTGGTTCTGCATAACATTCAACGGCTACGTATAACAAAGCCATTGGCATAATAGGAAAAAAAAAGTTTAACTTACTCCGGCGTACATTGCAGTTTTAGAAGGAATGTGAGTGGTGGACGCTTTGAGCAATACCCCGGCTACGATTTTTAGTATAAAAGGGTGCGTGGACATAAAATAGCATCAGTCCATTTCAGAGTGACAGTGAATCAGGATCCACATAACGGGAGCTCCAAAATGTTCGGAATTCCACAGGTACGGCTAAAACAACGGACATTTGTTGGTGTAAGCAAATTTTAATGTTGGACGATGGTGCAGCAACTCGAATAATTATTCTATCGGAAATTAACCGTCGTCTGACTTCTTAATTAAAACCTACAATGTTCTGAAAGTCTGTTCTATTTGAAGATTTCTGTCTTCTGGGTTCTTGCGCCGTGTAGTATGATAGATGTTTACCCTGATGACGGAGGCAGTATGACCTCTGAAACGTTGGTAAACATCTACCAGACTACAAGGCGTATCAACCCAGAAGACAGAAATCTTCATAATCTCCGCTGTGAAAACCTCAAATCATACATCTGTTCTACTTCCTTCTTCAGGTGGCAAATGAGAGGATTGCAGCAGAATAATATTTTGTCCTCCCACCGGTCACTTGAGGAAGGAAGTAGTACCGACTACAGGAAAGTTTGTGTTTTAATTTAAAAACTCTCGGACAATGGATAAAGGCAGTCGGAATAATCACACGGGTGTGAAATTTTCACGTTATTGTAATGCCTCTATGAGGCAACAGGAAGCTGGTTATGAAGTGATTGAACCCTTAATTCATTAGGATTTTGTAAGAAATGGTGATAAAATCATTAATTCCTCTCCCGGACTCTGTCCACTGACCAACCAATTTTACTGTAGTCACAGCGCGCACTCTCGGCTTGTGCTACATTCATTGTCTTAAGAGTCACTGTAGTGCAGAATATAAGAAGCACTTATATCCCTTATCATAATTTCGTTGCAGTCTTAACTCAAGTGCTTGGCCGTTCTATGTGCGTACACTAACAATAAGGCTCTCACACTCTGAAAAAGCAGTACTGAATACTCTGTCTGGTTAGTAGCGGGCCGTCAGACCTCTAAGACTGAAGGAAATATAATCCCGGAGACAGGGATTAGCTCTATCTAGTGGGCCCAACTGAGTAGGAACCTGAAGACGGAGATAGAGTCCCATCTCCGAAACGTCGTTTTACGTTTTATATTTACTAGACGATGGATAATATCCAAGGAAATGTTTATTCGACGGAGATAGGGATTAGCTCTATCTAGTGGGCCCAACTGTGTAGGAACCTGAAGACGGAGATAGAGTCTCATCTCCGAAACGTCGTTTTACGTTTTATATTTACTGGACGATGGATAATATCCAAGGAAAAATTTATTCAATTGTGTGTTATTATGTTCTTTATCGTACTTAAATTAAGGTATGTTTGGAAATGCTTACTCTGTAGAGTACACGACAGTTACAAAACTTTTCCACGCTCCATATTTTATGCAGACACTGTTTAACATGATTTTACTCAAGAACACAAACCAATGACAAAAGCAAACCTGCATTTTATATCATTACTCTCTTCATAACCCCACATATTTATCGTCTTAATTTTTTTACGATTGATAAGCTTACATCCTTGTTCTCACACATCCGTAGATAAGTAATAATTAATTGTTAGGAATTATCAGTAATTCACTACTTCTAAGAGAACAGAATTTATTCTCGGGTTACTATGACAACATAACGCCAACATTTCATTAAAATCTGTTCTGCCGTTCTCGAGTTATTATATGGCAGAACGTTCAGTTAGCAAGATCACTGATAGATGACATTACGATATCATGACAGACAGAACGTACCCACCACAAGACGTCCATCGCTTACGCCAGACGTCAAAGAACATCTAAAATCCTGCCAGTTTATGACTTCAACAGAATTATATTTTAAACGAAGAGTTAATTAATTTCTGTTTAAAAATAATTTTGAAAGCACGTGAGTTGTATGTAATATTTATTTTAGTAAGATGATCTGGTTACCAACTGGAAACAGAAACATGACCCAAAGTTTGATGAAGTTAACATAAAGACTTTATTTTATTTTATTCCTGTGGTTTGTGATTAAATAAGGCCAAATATGTGGCTGTTTATAAAGACACAGAACTGTAGATGCAAAGATAAGGAATTGCTTGTGTCTAACTAAGACCAAAGCAAATGTTTAGTCGACAAAACACAACGACCCCGGAATTATCGATACTCTACGCAGTGAAGCTAATTCAGTGTCCTCACTGCTCTGCCGAAACGTCGTAAGCCTCAGTACAATCAAAGTAATTCGTTTCACGTTCGTAACCGATCGCATTATGACCGTCAAAGCGGTAAAAATTTGGCAGTTCTTCAACAGAAATGATAACATTAATTAGATGTATGGCTTCTGTTTTCAAAGCGGTTTCATTTCAAAATTTTACGGACAAATCTCTGCTGTGATATTTTAATTCTTTAAGTTACTCAGTGGCAAACAACACTGATATATTTTCGTTGTCATCTATCTCACATCCGGCTATAATGTCCAAAAATTTTAAGCACCGTATGTCAGTAACCCAAAATCTAAGGGCAAGAACTTAAAATTTATTTCACAGTATATATACTGAGTGGTTTGTCAGTAGGCTTGCGACGGCCCAACGCCAATTGGCATATCGAAGATACAATAAGTCAACATACTAAGTAGTGATGCCACGGTGGTCTAGCGGTTAGAACGCTGGCCTTGTAATCCTGGGGTCTCGGGTTCAATTCCCGGCGGTGCCCGAATTTATAACTTGTGTTGGGCAAGGCCGTGGTCTAGGCAACACGGAGGTTTCCTCCGTGACATCCCAACAATTACTCCATTCACACACAGAAGAAGGCAATGGCAAACCACTTCTGGATCATCTGCCAAGAACGTATATGAACAGGTCCCAGTCCGAGAAAAAGATGGAAGGATCCTGTTCATATGGACCTGTCGTCAGACAGAACACTAAAAAAAATAAAAAAACAACAACAACAACTAAGTAGTGAGACGAATAAGACTTTCGCTGTGCAAGAAACACGTTAATTTACTAATAACAAATACAACTCAACTGATTTAAAATTATGAAGAAGCTTTTGATTTTTGCAACTAGATTTCATATGGGTATTTAAAAATAAATATTATTAAGTGACCGCAATTTGTAATTTTTCACGAATGTCCTAGGTAAAATTATATTTTTCTCGTATACAATCATTATGTTCACGAAGGAAGATGACAGAACACGGCCGAACGTCTTCGTGGACTGGATAGCTCTCCTGCTTCGTATTCCAGAAGCCCCGGGTTCAAATCACGGCCCGGAAACCTGCTATCCTGACTGAGGGTTTAGTGGTTTTCCTAAGTCTGTCCAGAATTTGGCGGGACAATACCTCAAATCAGGCCACGACTAATTCCTTCCACATCCTTTCCAATTCATTACTTGCTGTCATCCTCTCATCCGACGCTATATAGTCTAGTGAAAGCGTCGTTAAACAAACAAAACACGCAGCACAATAGCTAAACAGAAGACAGAGAACTATAGAACAGTAAAAGCAGCTCAGTTCTGCTTACAACAAAGTAAAACCACGGTCAAATATTCCAGTATAAAATATAGTAAAATTTAACGTCATCGTAACAATGTTTGAAAGCTCCAAATCGAACATTAGCAACTAAACATATCGACTGACAAAGAAAAATACTCTGCCCTGCAATGTCTGTGCACAGAATTGTTATTTAACCCGAAGTTTGCGTAACTTGTTTTCCAAACTATAATGTAAAACACAAGAAACACTGCTCGAAGCAATTAGGCTTACTTATGACTTACTTACAAAGTCGTCGTGTCTCATTCTAAGATGCTAATGCACGTAGTTCTTACAGCGCTTTCAATAATGAGCGGAAACTTTCAGTAACTAGTGTGATACAGTTTTCATATCGCCCCTACCAGAACAGAAATTGCTATTATAGTTGGCGTAGTAGTTTTTGGCCGGTGGAATTTTCAAGGGGAAGGCTAGGAGCGAGTCTCGGACTGAACGCCCAAACAAAAGAAATACACTGACCGCGCCACCTCAGGTACACGGACTAGGCCCGTCCGCCAGCTTCTCCACCGGCCAAGAACTACTGCGCCCACTATACCAACAAGATGTTCGTCCTTACTTAACTTTTAGTTGATGATTTGTCAACTGAAAAGATTTTGTAGCGTCTCATTTGAACATGACAGTGTTTGTTTAATAGCTTATTACCCATTCCTGACTGCATGACAAATTTAATGACGTTTGTTTGCATATATTAGTTTAGGAACCCACAGTATAATGACGCTTTCTCAACTACAAAGAGTCGAATGTGAGGACTAAAATAAATACAAGATTTTTAATTATATAGAATTATGAAAACGGAATATTTAAAGCAAAGAAAATTACGTTAACTTCTGCAAAGGACAAAGTCGGATAGTTGGATGATTGTAAAGAATCCGAAAAGATGTGTGTGGGGGATTCCGTCGATTACTTTAAGGTATAACCCAAAAATTCCATAGTTTGACTGAGGAAAACCAAGGAAAACAGCTAGTATCTGAGTCAAAATTTAAATATAGGAGTTCCAGAATATGTAGCAGGAGAGAGTTGCTTTCCTTGTACGCAAAAGTGTGCCGTCAGAAAATTGAGAGCCCCAGATTAGTTTTGTAATGTTGGTAGGTCTACGTACTTCAAGCATTTTGAGCCCGAGGGTTGTGACAGGTTTCGGCAGGCTTCTTGTCTCATGTGTAAAGGTCCGTCGAGTTCTCTACATTTAGAATGTTGCAGTGTCTAATTTTCAATACTCGTTCCTTATCTGAAACACAGATGTCTCTCTTCAAAGTTTTATTGTAATTGTTACGAAACAGTTTCAGGCCTATGTTTGCACTACTTAAGCATAAATTAAACTACAAACAAACTGAACATTGCAGACAAAGTAAGGAATAGCCGTATACATTAATAAAAGAGCTATTCAAATATTTCTACGACCAAAGAATCGACATAATATTTAGGGGCGACAGAGGTTATTTGACATCAAAACATGAGGCAGCAGTACCAGTAGAGATATGGCAGGAAGCGGTAGTGTCATGGTGGTTTCCTGGGTTGTGACGTCGTTTGTTCTTGTAGGGGATATGAAGTTTCCTGAAGATGGAAGTAATTTATTCCTCCGAAACTTTGGTAACTACCTATAAGTACGCGCGTTGTTGCAATCCATAAGACCATCATGGATATATTTACCACCTTCATAACACAAAATCTCTTGAAGTGGTGATCAACTGTATGAATGTACCGTTCGTTTAACTTCGTAATTACGTTTTACTGATAGCATTACTTCGTCTGCGAAAAATAATTTAAAAAATATGCTACTAAGCACCTTACCGAGTACTGTAATTTCAGGTCTTTGGATAACCGTTCTTTGTCCAATAATATTTACCGTTATTAATACCAACCAAAATAAACATTTGTCTCTAGACGATAACCAGATATGTAAAACGTATTCATGTTCCTTAGACAAATATTACAGGTGAAGCACGTGATTTTGAGTTAATTTTGAAACAGCCAAAAATTAAACTAAACTCACAAATAAATAATAAACAATATTACGACTTGTGAAATAATATACGCAGTTCTTAGGTTTGCGTCCACTTATCTCAATTATCCGAACTATTTCTGCGGATAAACTAAAGATATGAATAAAATTAGTTAAACTATGCATGCACATAAACTATTTTTAAAATGAGATGATAAAGTTGCGTCATATTGTGATATAATAAATATATATTAAATCTTGTCCGTCTAATCACAATAAATTCTTATTAAATATTAAAATATTATAATAATTAACATTTAAAATATTAAATAATGTTAATCATTATAATATTTTAATATTTAATAAGAATTTATTGTGATTAGACGGACAAGATTTAATATATATTTATTTTTAAAATAATTACACATTCTCTCAAAATGTGCTACACAAATATAATATTCTATTAATGATGAAGTGGACGCAGAATTATTGTTATTCGTTCTAGTATTTCAAAACAAATATCAATAAATTATCTCTTTTATAATTATCACTTAGCCATAGTTTTATTATTTTAAAAATTGTTGAATGAATCAATACTTGAAGTGAGAAGCATTTCCGACTTGAAGAATTACAAAACTGAAATTTCTTTTAAATGACGTCATCGCCACTAATATCAAATTATTTTCTTGGGTTCTTTTCAATTCTCCGCCTCCATCATGAAATACTGACTGCACTACTTTCTTTCCCGTTTTCAGACGCTCTGTGTAGCAACACTCTTAGCTGTTGCCCAAGCAGGCTACTTGGGCGGTGGATATGCAGGATATTCAGCCCCCGTCGCTTATGCAACCCCTGCCTATCACGCAGCCCCCACATACGCTGCACCAGGTATTATTAAGGCCCCCGTCGCATACAAGGCAGCTCCTGCAGTCGACTATTACGTAAGTTCAATTTCACGTGCCTCGGTTTCATCACAGCGATTTATATTTCCGTCAACCGTGACATGACAAGACCACATCCGGGAGCAATGTTAGAAGTTGCACAAAACATGGCGGGGAATTGCCTCGAAAGGCTTTGTACTAGCATATTAAGCAATTTAATCTAAATATCATAACAATAACAAAACCAAACATTAAGGTACACAAAGGAACAGGTGAATAAACAAACTATCTTTGTCCTGTGTGTGTACCAAATGAAAAACAAAACACAACACAGTACCTAAAGATCATATCAACACTGTCAGTTCGTAAAGATTTGGTTTTTATAATATAGGTGTCATGTTTATAAGGTTTAATTAAAAGGTTAAAATTATAAGGTGAAAATTACACATTAAGTTTATAATTATACAATTACAAAATATTCCAGGCTTACCCCAAGTACAGTTTCAACTACGGCGTGAATGACCCTCACACCGGAGACATAAAGAACCAATGGGAAGAACGCGATGGTGACGTAGTGAAGGGCGAGTACAGCCTGGTGGAGCCTGATGGAACTGTCCGGACTGTGTCTTACACCGCTGATGCACACAACGGGTTTAATGCAGTCGTACACCGCAGTGGGCCCGCAGTGCATCCTGGAGCTGTTGTCAAGGCCGTTGCAGCCCCTGCCCCCGTGTACGGAGGTTACTACCACTAACGACTCCTGTCTGATTCGCAACTCATCGTGTCAAGACAATCTATTCTGGTTGTGTGAAAATCGTATTCATAATAATGGCGGTGTCTCACATTTCATTTAGGGTGTAGTAATAAAGGTGTTTCGTAAACTGAAAGACATGCAGTACGTTGTGATAGCCATCCGAACGATGTTTAAAAATTGTGGCTTATTTCTTTCTTATCAGTGGATTATTCTATCGCACTTTTTATTTCTTTTTATTCAACTTCTATTAATTCTTGTAACAACAGAGTCGCCATCTATGAAGAAATGTGGTAAATGAAACTCCATTGTCTTTCGATGACAAGTTACGTAATCTGTTGATGAGGACGTGAACTAAATCCACTTTCGCTTAGACCGTAGGCAGAGCTTTATCGTAGCAAAACGCGTATTTCCAATATGAAGTGATTCTTAAAATATGCAAAAGAGTTTTTCTTCTGCTCTGTTTCATTTCGCGACTCGAGTTATGTTAGTATGTTTCCAGTATTCTTACGCGAAATCCTATACTAATTTAAAAAAAAAATTACGAAATTTTTCTTCGATTGCAATTTAATGTTCCATTCCTGAAAACCTTTACTATAAGTCAACCCAACTTGGCCACTGATTACGTTTTCATGACGGAAAAACCAGGTAAATAGAACTTCGATTAGATATATTGTCTGAAAATCATATGTACATATATGGAATGTCTGGAAATGGAAAATAACTTTATACTTTAATCTTTCAATGCATGTCCTCCATTTACAAACAATAGACAAAGAAGTGTTATTAAATATCACACATGAGTGGGTTTATGAGGAAAAGTCTATTAAAAGTGAAGTTCGTGTAACACGAAGATTACAAATCCTTCTTCGTGCATTATGTCAAAGGTATAATAATCAGCTGTGTGCTTCATAATTCCACATAAATATTATTATGTTCATTTTTTAACATTTCTTATGGAGATTCGTTGGAGATATTATTAGAAAGATTTTAGAAGCCAAAGTGTGATGTAATTCAAACATTTATGTACTGTGAAATACATTTTTGTACGTTCCCTTACAGAGTTGTTTTTTAATAGGTCACATATCCTCATTTATTTTACATATAAACAACTTGCATAAATAAATAAGATTTCAAGTTTTCACGGCGGTAGTCTGGTAGACGTTTACCGACGTTTCAGTCCTGAATTCTGTCATCAACATGGCAATTATGGAGACACCAAGCATTTCCTCAAATCGGAAAGAAAGTCTTCACCTGAAAGTAATACTACTAAGACGCTAGTTGACACACGAAGCTTTCAAAATATTAGAACAACAAAGAATGCTTCATACAGCGAGAAGAACAAAGGCGTCAGTGTTTTGTTTTTTCCCTTTCGGTTCATAAACGACGGTAATTTTTCTTTCAACAAATGAAAATTAATTTCGGAGTCAGTCGCGACTGGCAACGTACAATTTTCTCCTCAAAACTTTCACAAAATACTTTCTCTTCACACTTATCAAAGTATCCATTGTTTTATCAAGAAATTTTCGGAAACAGAGCAAACTGCTGTCTAAGATTTACTGTGTTCTATCATGCGAGGGTTTTTCTGTTTCAACATGGTGGCAATGTTTGTCAGAGATGAACAAGACAATTCATTTGGTTAGTTCAGCTTAGTCAAATTAGTACGAAGAAGTTAATAAATTCACTGACTCAGTCTCTACAATGCAGTCACGATTAGAGAAATGAGAAATGTCTCTCAGCTAATTAAGACATATTACGATTTTTATAAAATTCAAACGCTCATTATCGTGTTCAATAAATCTAACCACCGGTCCCTATCCTGACTCAGAGTAATCTAGTTCACACATCCTATGATTTAAGATCCATTTCAATATTATCCCCACTCACAATTATATCTCCCAAGTCATCATTCTCCTGCAGCACTTCCAACAAAAATTTTGTAAGCATTTTTCATCGCTCATATGCATGGTACATGAACGTTATACAGAACGTCGTGGTCGAGTAGTCAAATTCCGGGTTAATAATTTAAATTAGGCCACGACCGCTTCCTTCCACATCCCTCCCAGATTATTCAGTAGCTTCCTCTCATTCGACGCCACAAAGCTGCTGGTAAAGATACGTTAGAAGAATTATAATAAATAAATACATAAAATAAAATTAGTCGCGTAAGAAATCAAACACAAAACAGGAGCAACTACTAGGGTATTGTGGGTAATTAAGCTGTTGTTGATAAAGAAATGAACTACGTTCACAAATAAAACAAACCATAACACCGAGTAATGCTATAAAAATTTCAGACAGCAGTAAACAGTGGGGAAACATTCATATAATTTATTTCCCACGATTGATGATTCCACGCTTCGTACCTGGAGACATGTTGCTTATTTTTCGTCAGACACTTCTGAAAATTCGCCAGTGTCAGGTTAAAGGATCAGATTTCGTAGAAGTTCAAGGAGCGAAAATCATTTTTGGGAAGTTCTCACAAATCTGGTTTATCGGTTCTCCTAAAAACTATACGAATATGCTCGTACAATTAACACACAAACTTATGGCTGAATTGCTAAATGAAGGGTAATACGAAATATAGGCTATAAAGTAGCGATCTATCCGTTTATCTACAAAATATTCAAATCTTGACTTCAAACAGATCGTAACAAATTCCTTGCGTCAACATACTGCCACCCTTGCACTGGCTTTCTTCTATGAACGGGCGAAGTAGGTCATTTACACAAAACACAAGATTGCAACAGTTCAGTGGTTGGCACCCCTGCTTCATTTCTGGCTTATGGTTTCCATTGACAAGTTCAACATTTCAGACTACATAGCGTCGGATGGAAGGATGATTAATCTCTTCGTTTAATATGAACGCCGAAGATTCATCACAGTGTTCACAAGAGCGTCTATCCTGTGTCAAATGAATCGAAGCCACACACTCAAATCATACTTCTGTAAGATTCATTTTAATGTTATCCTATCTACGCTTAGTTCTTCCAAGTGTTTTCTTCCTTTCAGGCTTTCGAACTAGAATTTTGAACACATTTATTATTGTCCTATGCGAACTGCATGCCCTACCCATCTCATCTTTCTTGACTTGATCATGTTCATGATACTTAGTGACCAGTATACACTTACCCGCTCCTCATAATTTGCTCCAGCCTTCCACTGCTGTATCCCACATTAAGTCAAAACATACCCTTAAATACCCTGTTTATAACCGTACAATAGAAATTAGGCCCTGTTCGATACCCCACAATCATGATTCCAGTCCAAGCTCAAAAAATATACTGCACAAATCTTTAGGCAAATAAAAATTACAGAACCGCGTCGCCATCTGTTGTACGAACGCTACATTACCTTCCCGAATGCACGTGCAGTGTGATATGTGGCGCTCTCTTGTATGAACTACAAGAAAGAACTCAAGGCCGAGGGATTAGCACTGCTGCTTCGAATTCGGGAGATACAGGCGTCAAATCTCTTTTATGGTAGTCGGGCTTGACATTAAATTTAACAATAACAAAACACCTGTCATTCGGGGAACTTGTAAATAGTTTATTTCTCTCAGGCAACGACACGAAAATTCTTTGAGAAAATTTGTTGGTTTACATACTTGTAATTTGAATGACGCAGAAAGAAAATATAGCACAAACACGTACAACAGATGGGCCAAACAAGTGCTGGTGCGCATGTGTATGTACAGACATGTACACGCATGCGCTTTCGTCCTCAGCCTATAGAAGATCTACTGTCCTTCCAGCCTTCTTACTGTCATTACAGGTTAAATTTCTTTTCGACTACCGTTTTATTTTTGTACATTCTATTTCACACATCTCTACATCCAGATTTTTTAAAATTCTATATTATATTTGTTTACAATCGTATTTCTGTTTGATTAATTAGCCCGTTGAAGCTCGACGGTAAATACACGTCCCACCTTCTTCAACAGTGAACACTTCACTTTGCATCTGTGGGTTTCGTATAACCTGCACTGACTGTAGATTCTAACAGCGGCGAGGATAAACGTGACTATCTCCATGGTTGTTGAGCCGTGCAGACGGGCAGAAGTTTGTCGACGTTTCAGAGGTGGTTACTGCCTCTATCATAAGAACGATTCGCCTTGATAATGGAT